CGCCCACCCACACCCACACCCACACCCACACCCACACCCACACCCACACCCACACCCACACCCTAACTGTATCTATTATTGTATCTGTTTTTTTTAGCCTAAGAAACAGAATGTAGAAACACAATTATGTCTGAATACTTAGCAAACTTCTTACTCATATGCTAAAGTCAGTTTCCAGACGATCTCTAGAAATTTTTCGACAAGTGATTTTTTACTATCTCCGCGTCAAATTTTATTTTGACTGTGCTCATTTAAGTGCAATACAAAAATCTTTTTAGTCTGAAATTAAATAAAATGAATGCATATGAGAAGATGTACTATAGCGACAGTCGATTGTAAGGTAATGATGCTACAAAACTTTTTATACAAAAAAATATGTCATATATGAACTTAATGTTGAAATCAGCATATTACTTTTTGAACATCTACTTAAATCATCCTATTGCTAAGGACATTAAGAGAAAGTCCCCCAGAAAACCGACCACTATAAGGGAGAGGTGGAGACGGAAAATTATTAGATTTCGACTTTGATCATCTCATTCGAAAGCCCATAAAAAATGACTTAGGAAACCAAAATATCAAATCATTTTGAGTTATGTATAAGAAAATAGCAGGTACTCCATTTTTTCGACTTGAGGGTGTGGGTGCCGGTGCTGAGTGTAGATGCGGATATGCCCTTCTCTTCCTCATCCACTCCCACACCCGCACCCCACGCACACATATACCCACACCCGAACCCATACCCACACTTCACCCACGCATCCATCCGATCCCATACACACACTCCGACTCCCATACCCCCACCCACCTCCACAACCAACACCCACACCTACACTCAAACCCACACTCACACCCTATTCGCAGTACCTAGATAATGTTCTCGTGTTTGAACTAAAACATATTCCTTGCTTGTGATATTCGAGTACTGGTTTCCACCGACACTCATTGCTTGTGATGTGTAACATCCGTGAATAGGAAAACTACTTGTATACTGGCACTTTTCAGCTTTTCTTATCAAATTTCAAACAATCGTTTGTCAAATCAAGCTAAACTATAACCAAATCGAATCGAATTGATTCCATCTCTATTTTACAATGGTGATACCGTTGCTTTTTTTGTCTCTCTTTCTCAGTAGTAGGAATGTTGTGATGTAAAACATTTCTTTTTTCTGTGTACGACAAAATATGGTTTTATCTTCTTTCAATTAGCCCATTTCGATGTTACCTGACGTTCACAAAAGCATCCATCACTGCTACGATTCCATTTGAATTCAACAAGAAAGAAGAAATCAATTAATTTTTTTTCTTTTTTTACAACTCCCTTTTTTGTGTCAACGAATTCAGTCGACGTTCTCTTCCTATATTCTCTCTTTGTACAAAAACACAGGCAGCTGTATTTTGGTTGTTTTTCAACGACGACAACAACGCATCTTGCAAGGTGAACATATAGACACAAATACCTCAGAATTCTCCTTCTACTAAATGTTGAAAATTTAGCATTTTTTTGATCGCCGATAGAGACAAAGAGCTTGCTCTCGCCGTATTCTTGCTTCAATGTGGGTAAACATATAAAGATGAGTGTTGTCAGCTGAAAAAGAATGTTCGATCTATATTGATAAATAGTTTTCTTCATAATTTTACTTTATTGCACAATGATTCTAAACTTTTTAAGAGTTTCCCATTTACTTTTGAGCAATACAGGTCTGATGTGTTACTTCTACACGAGAGAAGAAAACGAATTACACAAGAAATATTAGTGATACAAGCTGATGCATAGCAAGAATGAATGATTGCATTTCTATTTTTTTTCTTTATCACTCTCCAGACACAATACTGGGCGGTGAAAAATCCATTTGTTCCTGGAAGAGAACAATGATTTTCGTCCATTCTATGAGACAAAATGAGATTTGTATTTCTATGCATGAAAAATACAACAAAAGAAGATCATGTCTGTATTCTGCAGCACTTATTTATTTCTATCTATCTTTGCAAAATTTGAAAATGCTTTATTCAAAGCTGAGAATATTTTTTTTTTCATTTTTTTTTCAAGGTTGTTCTAATGGAAGCTCTAATTTTCGAGAATTAATCAGGAGAAAACACTCTTTGAATCGCAGAATACGTATTCGTAAATCGCCGAAATATGCTATCTGTTTCGGCGAGAGTCTAGAGCTTGGAAGTAACGTTTATTATCTTATCTCGAACAAGAGTAACTCTCTGTTAGTGTTTAATGGTTTTGCATAGATATCCTTCCTTAGTTCTGTTCATCATAAATGATATTTTATTGTGTTTTCTGTGTCTCAGAGTTCCTCTTTCTTTCGATGTAAAAAAATAACTCTGATATTTATCAATGACTTTAATTTCTGTATAAAAGAAGTTATTTGCTTTCAAGCAACGATTCATCATTCTCGACTCTAATCGTAACTTAGAATTCTTTTATGTCACACACCTAGCAGAATAAGAAGAGAAGAAATAATGACTCATTTAAAAGAATATTACGATAAATGAACTTTGACTCACTATGATAAGATATAGATAATTCATTAACCGTTAGATTTCTCAGCAACGTGCTCTATTCTGTTTTTCAGCGAACAGAAGATAACATAGTTAAGTCGTTATCAAATGCGTTACGACGATTTTACATGATAAACTAGTTTATAAAATGCATGAAATTCATCTTTTCAAGGTATATCAAAAACTAAGAACATCAGAGTCTTTTGTCAAAACATATGTAATCTACGTAACTTTTGATGCTCTATCCAATGATATACTTTAAATTTAATTTCATTACATTGTAGAAGTGAAAACTTATTTTTCTCGAACTACACAGTGATAATTTTGTGACTTAACGTTTCTACTACTTAATTTCTTCAACGGTAGAAAAGTTAAACTACTTTTCGCAAATCTATTTGTTTTTCAGCATATAGCTGAGTGTCTCCTCTCTCGAATGGATGCTGAAAAAGAATCGTTTGACTTGACAAAATTAGCATTAACTCAATATTTTTATATTTTGTGGAAGAGGGTCCTATAATTATGAGATACCTGGAATTCGAAAGTTTTTGAATTTATTCATTAATGCTGATTGATCAAACCCAAATCAATATAGCACATGATAGACTGCTACTATGTGTCCATGGCTATGGCATTAGGTCAGTGATGAAACCTTCTTTAGTTGGAGAAAGCTTTATTGTTTTCAAAATTTCAGAGGGGGTCCTATAATTTTGGGACTCCCCTGTATATTTGATCATATTGATTTGGATCATCATGATATTGATTATCAATAAAAATAAGTTTTGTATGAACATCCTGAATATCTTTAAAATTTCTTCTTAAATCATCAACAAATACAACTGGATGTAAATCTTCAATAATTTGTTTTTTTGGATTCTTATGAAAATTATTTTTATCATAACCAGAACTAATTACTTTATCAATAGGAAATTCATGTAAACGAAGATCTTCTAATAGACGTCCAACAAATTGTGCAGGCATTGCTGTAACACAAATTAATTCATAACCAGCTTTATGTAATAAATGGCATGCTTCAAGTGCGCCATCATGCATTGGCATATTTTTCCAACCATGTTCATCCCATACTTTATCAAATTCAATTCTTTCTTCATCAGTAAATTTAATACCATACATATCTTTCGCCTATTAATAATATAATCAATGATATTATTAACAAGTAACGCGTCGGCTCCATGAGCCTCGCTTAGCTCAATCCTGAAAGCTCGAAAACATATCATGCGACATAGGCTTGTACATCGCTAAACACATTCATAAGTGAGATTGAAATATTACCAAAGAAACTTCTTTAATGACCAGAAGCATCAGGATATATTGAAATCTATTTATATTCAGATAATAAATTGCTCGTCATTCTTCTGTATGTAAAATATGTCTATTTATACTACGCTTCGAACATGTGTCATTGTCCAGTTCGAAGAGTCCAACTACTCTATCCTGTCGCATTCGATCGGATTCAATATCGGATTATATCAAAAATGGTCTGATTTCGACTTCTTTCGGTCGGATCCTGTTGGATTGATTTAGAAATTAAGTGATCCGGAACTCATCGAACATTTACTTACCCAGGTCAAGCAAGCAGACGGCAAGATGTTACATGATCGTACCTCTGATCTTGTATGATCTTGTAAGGTCATACGAAAATCGTAGTCCCAGAAATCTTACATCAAGTCGTAGCTTGAGGTTCTTGAAAGATCTTGCTGTTCTGTAGGATATTCCAATAAGATTATAGAAAATCTTGTCCCATAGTAAGATCTTACAAGAATCTTAAAGTGCAACTTGATGTAAGATTTCTGAGACCACAATTTTTTGCAAAATTTCACCTGATCTTATAAGACCTAATGTCTGATTTTATAACCTGGGTAGGGAAGGATATTATTGGATCCGACAACTTCAGAAGAATGGATTCGACAAAGTTCTATCGGATCATCCGAGTAAACTTCAGAGATCCGACAGGATCCGAACGGATTTCACATATAACCGTTCTATACTTAACCTGTTTCGCATTCAATATAATTTGCTATAAATAAAATAAATATTAAGATTTATAACAACAATGGTAAAAAATCATTGTCTACCATTATGATCTCTTTAGTGAGATCCATACACAAGATAAACCCAGATAACGTTCTTAAACATGTGTACAAATATTAAAAATGAATACACTATATCCCTTTGCCTCAATGCTTATCCGCATATCTTTACAATTACACTCTTACCCATAAAGGGTGTTTCATAATAACTGACGATAAATTGTTAATGATATTTTTTATATTTTTTCTCGACGTAGAAGGCTGAAAATTTTATCATATACATATCTAATGAAGATCTTTTATTTCTGAAAGTTTTAGCTCTCTAGCTGAAACTGGTAGTGAAATGCATCGAGAAGATTGAAATACATAAATTTTCGTGCTCGATTTTTGTAATATTTTTTACTGCGAAAATATTGCAGGGTAGTTCCATGGGTAGTCAACCAAAATATTACAAAGTATTCAAAAAGTTTTCTTTCATATCAGATTTGTCGACCTTGTTCCGCTGATCATTTTGGTAAAAAAACTTTTTGAATTTCATTGAGAAATGACGATGTTATACTCAAAATAGTAAACATTGTAAAACCGCTTAAAATGTAAGGAAAAGTCGATTCACACATCTCAAAATGGCTATATTCTGGAGAAATGTGACATAGTAGATTCTGTAGAGGAAAATTTGCTCTACAAAACCCTATAGTCGGTTTCTCAGATAAAGGCGAATAAGATGGATAAATCTCGATTGAACATTGTATACGATATTCCTATCACAAAAAAAGTCTGACATCTTCTGTTTTGACAATAGATAATTTGACTATAACATCATCATTTCTCAATGAAATGCGAAAAGTTTTCTTACCAAAATGATCAGCGAAAATAGCTCTACAAAGTCTGATACGAAAGAAAATTTTCTGAACACTTTATGATTTTTTGGTTGACTACCAATGGAACTATCCTGCAACACTGAGTACGAAAATTTATGTTTTCAATCTTCTCGATGCATTTTACCACCAGTTTTAGCTAGAGAGCTGAAACTTTCAGAAATAAAAGATCTTCATTAGATAAGTATATGATAAAAATTTCAGCCTTCTACGTCAAGAAAAAATATGAAAAATATCATTAACAATTTATCGTCAGTTATTATGAAACACCCTTTATAATCCCATACCTATACCCATATACCTATATTCTTATATCTGTACCTTCATACCCATATGTTACGGGTTATATCGTTGTGCCTATTACCTTACACCTGCACATCTGTAGGGTGAGCTAAAAGTTTTGGCACTTCATGCGATGGGTATGCCAAGATGAAGAGAGTCAAATTCACACCCACAATCCACACCCGCACTCCACACTCCTCACCCATACTTCACACTCTACAGTCACAACCACACGCACCAAAACCCACCCACTCAC